TCCTTCTCCTGCCAGACAGACTCCCTGTGGCTTGGCCAGACCCAGCACTCTGCATACAGTGGGACCAGAGTGACAAAGCTGAGGCACAGAGATATTCATATTGAAAGCCTCAATTCAGCTCACAGGAGATAGGGGCTAGTTCAGAGGTCTAATTCCCTTGCCTCCATTCCATCCTTGCGTTCAGACTTTGCTTTAGGCCCACACTACACAAAAGGGAGGAAACAAATTCTATGCTCAAGGACAGAAGTGAGCAGAGATGGCAACTCCAAGTTGATACACCACACGTATCATGAACTCCCCCTTCCCCAAACAGCCTTGCCCAGGTTGACATTCAGTATAATTTACATGAAGATGGCACTGTTTCAGCTACTGGAAAAGAGGGGAGTAAGAGCAACAGAGAGCTGAGCCTTGCCCTGTGGACCTCAGGACAGAAGAGCAGCAACTCTCAGAACCAACTCATTCTTCAGGTCTCTTTCTCCCCAGTGGCAATCCTAACCCAGGGTCAGTCTCGTGAGAGATGTGTGTACCCAGGAGAGATGCTGATGAAAGCTGAACACTGCATGGGGAAACACCCCACCAACCAGTAGGAAATGCTGAGGAAAGGGCTGTAACATAAACTTCTGCATCTCCAGGGCACTTGCAAGTATCAAAGGGAAGTGGCCAAAACTGCTGAATGGTGCCACTAGGACCTGGCAGCTGGTTTCTGCCCAGGTAGGGTATGTGGGGAGCGTTCCTGGGACCCAGCCCTCACCTCTAAGGAACATTTGTTTATTTTATGACACAAGCAGCAGTTCAGTGGCGAAAAACACAAAAATGTTAGTCCTCTTGCTGAATTTCCAGGTATTTGTAATATTCTGCTTCTGGAAGCATTCAAATCCTTTCTCAGAAAGGATGAATGCAAAGTTGCATCTTCCACAGTGCAACCCAATTCTCTGTTCCCTGGGGTAAAGACAGCAGCTCTCGCATGCCTCTGCAGCCTTGCTTTGCTGTCAGGCAGGCTCAGCTGCTAGCTTAACTATTTTCAATGTCCCTTGAGTTCAGGCACTGCTGCAGAACAGGTGTTCTCACATCATGGTATCTCCACAATGCTGAGGGAAAAGGAACCCCACCATCCTGCCCTCTGTCCATTTGCATCCAGCACTTCCTCCCCTTGAAAACAAGCCCAGCCTCCCCCAGCCAGCTCAAAACATCTGGGCCAAGTACGTCACAAATTCAAGTCAGAGATAACATGACAAGGGACAAAACCCAAAATAAAACGACAAACAGGATTGCCCCTCCACAAGATTCTGCCTCTGTTTTCTGCCTTGGATGCCCCATCGCAGTGGCTAAGCCCACCAGTGCTGCATTGCAGAAGGCTTTAGGGCAGCGCCCCAGCTCCACCACCACCACTGTCAGTGCCCAGAACATCCTGAGTGCAGCACTGCAGGGCGCAGAGTCCCAGCGAGTACTGCAGAGCTGATGGAGGAGGAGGAGGAGGCTTTTCCTGTTGTTGCCTCGGGGCCGCCAAGGTTATTGGTTAGGTGCAGAGCTCTGGAAGGTGCAGAGAGAATTAAACTCCCCAGTGTACATAATGAAGCTCCTGAAAAGTGGTCCCTATAATTAGCTGTGTACATAGCAAACGCAGCCACTGGGGACATTGCTTTTGCTCCCAGGCTTGTTTGCAGAACCAAAGCTTCATTCACGTCCTGGATTGTTTCCCCTCAGCACTGAGGAAGAGTCACGTCGCTGTGCCCTATTCCTGCAGCTGTTGTGCACATACAGGGCCAAGACATGAACCTCAGACACCCATGCAGCAAGCCAGTTCCCCTTGCACTGTTTGGTCTGGACCACAGAGGTGCGTGACACTGGAAACATCTATGACACCAAGGCTCCTCACAGATGTCTCCACAGAAGACCTTCCCACTTTACCATACTGCAGAGAGAGCAGTACAATCCTTCCTAGGGAGAAAGAAGCTATAGCCATAAAAAAGAGCAATTTGCCCATTGAGGAAAAGCAAGGAGGGCTCTTTCTAGGAGATACAGCCCTATGTGTTCTAGGGCTGGTATAACACCAGGAGTTCAAAACCATCACACACCACTGATATGGCGGAAGGCAAGTGTGAGTTTGCTCTGTCTGGGCTCTGGGCAAAGGTAAGCCATCTCTGATCCTCAAAGCTGTAATGTATGACAGAGTCTGGGATGAGAACCTGTGGCTCCCCAATGCTTTGGAGGGGCTGAGCTCTGTGCTCACACCTTCACACAGCCCTAAGGTCAGAGACAATTGATTCTCTCTCCACCATGTCCCTTGCACAGGGCACACACAGGCCTGGCCAACATTATGCATTGCACGGGGAGCTGCAGGACCAAAGTTGAGGCTTCATTCACACTCTTCCAGTCCAGCACTGCAACCTTTGCCCACACCCAGGGACTGAGCCACCAATCAAAAGGAGCAAGACATTCTGACACCTTAGACCCTTCCCCTCTCTTTGAGGCTTAGCCTCCTGCTGTCAGCATCTTCCCTGTACTTGTGCAGCCCTTCTTCACTGTGCAAAAGCCACAGGAGCATCCAGCAGGATTCAGGTGCGTGTATTACCTCTAAACACACATTCATTCAAGAGGCCGTCTGGTGCAGAAAATTCTCTTCCCTGGCCCTACCGATGGTGAGGGTATGCTTTGCTTTGCTCACCAACAGCACCTCCTGAGTAAGCTCACTAAGTAGGAGAGAGGCTGCAGCACTGCCATGTGGTGTTACCAGGCAAGGGCCTCCATGCCAAGGAATGCCATCGAGAAGCAGTCTTCACTTGCAGCTCCAGGACTAGTATGTAAATCCAATTCACCAAACACAGTGGCAGGTACGTGACTCACCCTGAACAGTCTCATGGTTCAGAGAAAAAAACACTTAAGAGGTCTGCAGAGATGGCTCATTCCAGTTGTTATATGAATGCTATACCCATGACCAAACCTTATGGCCTTGTAGGCTCCAGCTGATGACAGTGACATCTCCACTTCTGGGACCACATGCTAGTGGCAGGAGATCTCTATTAAGTGGTTGCTCAGAAGAGAGGACACTCAAGTAAAATAGTTTAATGGGCTGAGGGCAGACGCCTTCACTTTTAGCAGCCTAAAGGAAGAAATATACAGCATGTAATGCCCCAAACTCGCCTCTCCCTTGACATCTTCAGTGTTATTACCTAGCTGTGTCCACAAACATTACCAGAGATTCTCATGGGCCACCTGCAAACCAGAGATTAAGGAGCACTCAGCTGTGACAAAGGGAGAACTTAACAGACAGAGGTGGTTTGCCTCTCTATCTTTTCCTCCCTCTTTTCCTGTTCTTTTCTGAACTGCCTCATTTAGGAAACAGGTCATGACTATTGTGTTGACCATGGAGCTTATGAGACCCTATATTGCCCACTGCCCGGTCTCCTAGGGGAGAGGTCCCTGTGCAGGGAGACAGTTTCCTGACCTTGCCAACACAAGGCACAACTCTGAATATTGTTTTGGTCCTATCACTCTTCCTTGGAAATGGGCAGCAATTTTGACCCCCATACTAAATGTTACAGCATTGGGCTTGCTTTAGGTAAGCAGAGGAGAAGAGAGAGTAGAGCACTAAAGCAGATAAGTTCAGCTGCATGGGAGACAGGGCCTTAAGGAGATGAAAGACATCAGCCTGATCCACATGGAAGTGGCAAGAGCTAACACAGGGCTGGCTCCTGCCTCTCTATTGTACTAAGAGCCTCCCTGCTGTGGTCCTCATCATGGTGGCTGGCAGCTACTTTGCATCCCTTCCAGCTCCTGACTTCTCCCTCTGTGGTGGGGAGCTGTGTTTGCCTCATGCACAATAACAACTTCTTTCTATTCCCAGTTATTCGCCTTGAGCTAATCTCTGAGAAAGGGCCGAGGCTTCTCAGCTTCACGCCTCTTAGGCTTCTTCTCCCAAGCCAAGTCTCTCAAGCCCTGAGAGACAAGGCAGTCACTGTTTGACCGGAGCATCCATACTTTATGCCAAAGAATATTGAGCCAAGTATGAGGCAAGCCTACTGCTTGCATCTAGTACAGCAGAACAGGGATGGCTCATACACCTTGCCTGCAAAGTCCCCGTCCCCTGTACGCCAGCACTGGGACCTCTGAGGGATGTCGGAGGTCAATAGACAGACATTAGCCTTTCCCTCTAATGCAGTGTGGTGATAACCCCTATCTCGCAATGCAACTTTCTACTGCCCTTCTGCCACAGCTCCCATTCCACTTATTCTCAATCTGCATGTTAGGCTCATTCATTTATGCTGCACCAGCTTGGACCTGCTGTATCCAGTGCTGTTCTGATCCCAAACCTTCACAGAAATCTCTCATCCTCATGGAAATATGTTGATGATGGGTCAAATTCCATGAGGAATTATTCTTAGCAACCAATCTGACTGGTTAGGCATTGCAAGCCCGGTTAAACTCAGAAATTCACTCAGAAATACACAGGCTTTGTCCTTAAGTGAAAGACATGGGAAGTGGAAAATCACGTGTTTGCACAAAAATTCAAGCTATTCACTTTCTGCTTTATTTAGTAAAATAAATGGAAAAGTTCATGCAACATCAAGCAATCAATCTGCTCCTAGTGTCAGGAGAGGCTATTAGTGGATCCCAGCAGGGCATCAAAAGTGAAGAGAATGACGTAAACAGATCTCTTTGGGAACTACAAGCTTTATCTTTGATATTGTCATTTTGCTGCTTGATACTTGTCATTACTCCTTACTCTAACAGAGGTGGCATGGAAAGACACAGTGTGGGGCAATACCAGAGTTCCTTGAGTACTAAGAAAAGAGAGCTGGAACCAGCAAGTGAGAAAGGAGAAGAGATTCCTAGAGAAGACAGACAGCATATATGTACATGGCATGGAGATGAAAATCTGAGACTGACTTGGCCGCTTAATCCTGCTATTCCAGGAATTCATGAGCTGTGGGGCTCAATGAACTCTTCATACATCAGAAACAGATGACTCTCAGCATAGCCATCCTGTTGGTGAGAAAGAATCAGAGTTCCTCATTGAGGGCCTTCTCCTCAGGTTTGTCTTCTTTCTAAAACACATTAGAGGCATAAAATCAGTTTTGACGTTGCTTGGTTTATCAGCGTAGTGATAAAAGGAAACACATCAACTCAAATGCCTCCCTCTGCTGTCTTTGCCACTGCCCTGCCTGTCTCATTTCAATTGCACAACACAGAGTCCTGACACACAAAGCCTCCGTGCTATAGGAAGATGAGCTTTGACAAAGAGAGAACTTTTAACACTGCATGAACATAGAGGTTAAATTGGCCCTCTCCCAGCAGAGACCTCTGGTAGAGTCATGAGCCCTTGTCTATATACTCTGTTCTGCGGCCTTCTGGACAGATTTCTGTCTTATCCAGGCCTCTGCCTCTCTTATCCTCTCCTATGGGCTGCCAGACACTACCTCCATTCTTAGTGTCCAAAAGTACCCTTTCCTCTGTCTCCCCAGCTGCTGTTCCCAGAAAATAGATGCTTCACTGAGACCTTCAGATAGTTGCAGAGGTCAGTAAAGTCTTCTTGCTGTAGACTAAAAGGTAGAGATCAATGAAAAAAGGGGCTCCGCAAACACATCCCTCTGCTGTGCTCTAGATCTAATGCTTTTGCAATATTCAGGTGAAAATGATAATGAAAGAGGAGGTGGCAGGGGTGAAGCGGAGTTCAAGTAACTGAAATCATCTTATTCACAAGCCTTGTGAGCAACAGCATCGTCCTACAAGTTCCCAGCTTCCTGTAGACTGTACAGGAGTCTCCCTTTACCTTCTGCATTCTTTGCAAGAAACGATTACAGAAGTCCTGTACACCCTCAACGGAGACTTCATCCAGAGTCAATACATCTTGCTCTTCATCTGGTACATGGAATATAGCCAGAGCTGGCAGCTGGGACTTCTTCAGTTTGAAGAATGACACTGTTTGTTCATTGCTCTTCAAATTGCTGTCTACCATGATAAAGAGAATCTGCGATGGAAATGAGAGAAGAAATGTGAGAAAAACAGAGACTGAGAGAGAAAACAGATCCCCAAACAGTGATCACATGAAGATTAACAGTGATATTTTTATAAAGAGTTAGAGAAAACCTACCATACTCTGTTAGGACAACACTTTCCTCTGCCACTATCTAACTGCTCCATGCAGTGACTTTTTCTGTATTTTGTCAAGTCCAGACTTATACTACCATACAAAATGTCTTTGTTCGCCTTCTTGAAAAATACATCTACAGTATGGCAGGAAGGCAGTCTCCACTTCTATTCTCTTAATAGATGAGGAAACAAGATGTCTTTTATCTTAGTGGCACGTGTTAAAAAGCTGGCTCCTCTACTTGGATGTTATTTGGATAAGACGCTTACACCCATGCAACACCCAGAGTGGCAGAGTAAAAAAGTGTTTTGGTGTGTGAAGAATCAAATGCAATTGCAAGAATGTGGTAATGAAGTATAGGGCAGCAGGAGCCTGCAAGGATAAGAACATGAGAGTACCAAAAACAAAGGGCATATTTAAGTGAGCTGCAGTGAATAGAAATTAAGACGGAATTATTTGGGAAACAGGAGTTGTTGTCAAGACACCAATGTCCATGCAGCCAAGCTCAGTGGAGGGTTGTTCAGACCTGAGGAGCGAAGCCCAACAATGAATAAGACAGGATGAGAATGACCTACAGTTTTTTGGGCTCCCAAGTAGTCCTGGAGAGCAAGATCAAGCCAAGGATTACGATTCTGCCAGGACGATTCAACAGTATGGATTTATCAGAATTGGTGACCAACTCCATGATTTTATTTTAAAAGTAAGTTTCAAGTGAGATCTTACAGGTGCAGTAGGAATTGGTACAAATTTAAAATTCCGGAATCTGAAAGATTATCAATAAAATATACACCTATCTCAAAAATATTTGTTAAATTATCTGTTAATACTAAATACAAACATTATGTATAAATTTTATAAAAGGAAATAAATACAGCAATTGAACAATTTAATCAGTGACCTGATTAAATAGAATCTCTTGGCAGGTGTCATCCAAGTCAATGAAACAAATATCCAGCTAACATGTGTCATTGTATCTTTATCCTGTGCAGTCTGCTGGGCCTAGCATACTCTATGTACCTATGGACATGGATATGACTTAACTTATACAAGAAAAAACAAGCATTTAAAAAAACAAAAGTAATGTGAAGATGATGTGCCCAGTTCCCAAGCTATGACTCATGTTTTTCTTTCTTTTTTAAAAAAATAAACTTGGTACATCTCAAATTCTTTACTTTATTAAATTTACGTTCTATAAAAATACAAATCTACCTGGAAACTTTCCTAGAAAACATCCTATGAGAAGGAGGGATAGTTAGGCTGGTGTAAGGTTTAACTGCAGTTCATCACTGTGATATAGAAACAGGAACAATGCTTTCATTGGATATGTAATATTTACAACTTGCAATTTCTCTTCCAAAAGTCAACTGTGCTCCAAGGGCAACAAGCTAGTGAGCAGATAGGTTGTAGGGAACTTCTCCCAGTGTGTTGAATTCATCCTTTTGCAGGAAAAAACACGAAGGTAGAGAAGGGCCACAAATCTAATGGCCACAGGTCTAAGGACCTGACCTAGGAGGCTTTCTGCTGGAGCAGCAATACTAGCAAGTTGGAAACAGAGGCCGGTGCTGGAGGGAAGCACTTTCAGAGGGTTGGTACAGGAAATGGTACCACATTTTCACTGGTTCATTCACCAGCTTTTGGTTTTCTCTATGAAAGATTCACTAGACAATGATGGGTTTTTAATCAAATGTTAAACAATAAGTTAACAAAGAAAAAGCATTTAGAATACCTAGGTTGTTAAATGTAGTCACTTTCTATACAAACTCTCCTCCACCTTTAAAACAGATTAACAGCATTTTAAAATGGTAATATAAATAAACATTAGTTAACATTCTTCACTGTATCAAGCTTCCAGCCTTTGTTAAAAAAAAACAAAACAAAACAAAACTAAAAAGCTGTACATATTTTATCCATGAATACAAAGAATAAAGTAAGAATGAAAAGGTTGGGGCTTAGAACTCCAAACACCTTATTTCTTACAGAAGAAAATCAAAACACACAAACAACTGGTCCCTCAGCCAGAAAGGCTGAGATATCATCATTCACAGTTCATGACTCGGATCTCTCTAATGACTCACATTTGGCTCACGGAGTTACAGGGTGCCAAAGAACAGCAAAACTTTCCTTCCCCTCTTATATTCCAAAAATACAGAAAAGATGGCAACTGCATTTGTCTACTGTCACTAGAAAGAAGACACTTTAATGCTTATCACATGCGTTTTGGAATGACACATTCCCAGTAGGTGCTGTGACATGGGATGAATCCTTCTTTAGCAAAAGAACAGGCCATGCATCCTATGCTGGATGTGCTCCAGGGATCCTGCCAAGGTCTGTGTGGCCTCAAAGTCACACTTGTGAGGCAGTCTGTAAGTTGCATTGACACTGAGGCCACAAGCACTGGAAGTCTGGTCTCCTCAGCAGCTGGAAACCAAGCAGGCTTCTCAATGGGGACATTTCCATGATAGATGCCACCTGGTGGAACCAGCATTTTCTCATGAGGAATTTATTTAGTTCAGATTCCCAGCCAGGATTCTCTAATCCTAAAGAATGAATGCAGTGACCGTGGAAAATTATACTGACCATGAAACAAGATCAACTTTGCCTAACTTCTGCCACCTAGGTGTTAGTCTTGTCTCAGCCGGTCATCTAGGTAACCTCTACAATAAATAGTGACAGGCACCTTATTCCACCTATTTTAGAACAGAAGGAAGGGCATGTCTGTCCTTCTCAACCAGTGCTGAAAAAAATATAAAGCCTTAGCTCAGATGACTTATCAAAGCTATAATTCAGCAAAACAAATCTCACTTATGATGTCAACTCTCACATTATTGCTAGAAACCAGGTAGTTTCACCCAAATCAGAAAGTTCATTTTCTATTTCATACTATCCTGTACAATAGCTGAGTTTTTTTAATTCTGAAACAACTTCATGGAAATTTTGCAGCAATTTTCTTGCCTATGTTCAGAGGCCTGCTGCTAGAGGCAGTGAAGGATCTACTGCATGGATGAGGAACTCACGACACAAATTCTCTCCTCCACACATGATCCTCCAAGAACACAGAACACAGTGTGATATTATCTGTGCACTGCCACCTGCAATAAGCTCTCTTTCAGAAATTTTTGTAAGATGGTGCTGTCTTGGTGTCCTGACAACTTGATTTCTAGCCCAGTGCTTTTAGAACATCAAGTTCCTGATATGAAATGATGATATTGCCCAAGGAATTCAAGTTAATTGAAAATAGTACTGCAATGGTAGAAACCAATTTGATGTTGCTTAGTTTTTCCTCTAAGGAAGACAAACAGGAAGAATGATCAAGCCTCACATTCACTGTTTGGCTTCAAGCTTCATGGAGCTGCAACCTTCATTCTTTGAAGAGACTGTATAAGCAAAAAGATCAAATTCTGAAGTTTGAGTAATTTCTTACATAGCTTACATAGTATATCAAAGCAAAATGAAAACATCAGTAATGATTTTTTTTTAAAAAGCTACAAAAACAATTTTACTGCAGATATCTGTTAAGTAACATAGACAACCCATATTTATAGCTTCCTCTGTTAATGGCTAAAAGAGTCATCTCTAAACACTATCTCTCTCACTTCCAGAGCCATCAGTGTCTGACAAGAAAAATAAAAAGTGTATATGAACGACAGTCTGCAAAAGAAAGGGCATTGTTCTTTCATTTCCATGGAAGAACTCCCACAGGACTCTGTAGGGGAGCATAAAAAAGTTGACACGCGAATGTCTTTTGGGTCCACTAATGGAATCACTTTACATTAATTAATTAATGCTGTACTGATCAATTGTTTGAATTTTGCTTCTCCAGCACGTATGCAACTAGTGATTTGCTAGTTGCAGCAATGAAGGTGAGAAGAGGAAAACCTTGTGTGCAGCTGGACTGGACACAAGGTTTCAGAGCTGGCAGAACAAAGCTGGGACTGTAGTTCAGTGGATGGATTGCATACCATGTTTCAGAACTGATGAAGCAGGACTCGGACTCTCCAGACCTGAGTAAGCAGAAACTTGGAACTTCTGGCAGACAACGAGAAAGCGAATGTGCAAGACGAGAGAAGAGAAAGACTTAGTGAGGAAGGCAGACCACTGGAGCGACCCCCCAGCTGCCACGTGCAGGCACGACAGTGGGCATCTTATATAACCAAAAAGGCAGAGTGGAATGTCACTCCTCCTGCCATGTACGGGCCCTACATGGAAGGACGAAAGGTGTAATATAACCCGCACAGGGGTGTGGGTTGAGACACTCCATCATCGAAGTCTCCGCAGGGTCACCTGCTACGTGAAGTGCCTGTCAGCCTCCACCCCGAAGCGCAACAATATCCAACGGTCGCGACCATGGTCATCGATCAGGAGCGGTAGTGCTGGCAAGTTTGTAAGTAGATTTGAGTAAGAACAGCATTTAGGCAAACTGCTTGTAGGATCTCTAGGTACGCATATATATATATATAAAACCCACATGTAACCAATATACCTCTTAACTCTTGTATTCTGTCCTGTTCGTGTGTGACTGAGACGTACTCATAGTACGAAGCCAATGTGGAGTCTTGATCCGCGGTTCTGTTCTCCCACGAGGGAAACAGCCGGAGACAGATGAAGTGATTGAAACACAAGAGTGAATGAGTTATTTTGCTGACTAATAAATAGTGCTGGTGTTGAGCTTCACCACGTGTGTATGTCTCCTTGCCGAATCCCTGAACCTACCTAAAACAGACTCTCAGAAGTTTCTCAGAACCCATTTCTAAAAGGGCCTACATATAGATAAAAAGAGACTTTGCAAACATCTCTATCCAAATAATTTTGACATTGCAAACCAGTTATATCAGTTGCAGCAAAAGCTGCTTTCGTTATTCCCAGCATCACCTTATTGAAACTTCAGCCATTACCCATCAGGTACACCAGCTGTAACTGTCATGTTAAACTCTGATACTGTGGAAAGAAAACAGAAGATGCTTATCCTAGTTTGTCTCAGCAATGCAAACTCTGACATTTTCTTTCCAGTAGAAAGCCTGGAATCTTGGCAGTACTTTCTCAAATAAGCACATATTTGATTGCAGTGAGATCCTTCCAAGAAGGCTGGTGGATTCCCTCCTGCAGCTGCAGTGCTCTTGGCTCTGTCTGTTCACTGTTACCCACCCACAATTGTTTCTCAAAGTCTGCTAGCAAAGTACCATATTTTTTCTTGTCAGCTGTTGCTGGCTTAGCATCATCTAACATTTGCACTTTCCTCTCCAGCATTTTATAGTGCCCGGATGTGCTGGGTTTATGTGGTGGGGTTTTGGTAGCAGGGGAGGGGCTGCAGAGATAAACCCTGTAAGAAGCCGTGAAAAGTTTCCCTGGGCTTCAAAACTGGTCACCCTCCCCTCATCCCCCGCCACCCCTGTTTCCCTGTCCTCCTGCGCCACTGGGCAAGGAGGTAGAGCCAAGAAGAATTGAAGGGTAGGGGGAAGGTGTTGTTTTTAAGATCTGGCTTTGTTTCTTGTTATCCTCTCTGAATGAACTGTTAATGAAATAAATCAATTTGTCCCCAAGCCGAGTTTGTTTTGTCTGGGGCCATGGTTCATGGGTGATCCCTCCCCGTTCTTGTCTTGACCACTTTTTCATCTCCACCTCACCAAGGGGTAGGAGTGATTGAGTGGTCGAATGGTAGCTTAGCTCCCAGCTGGGCTAAACTGGGTTCCACGATAAAACCTAGACGAATCTAGACTGCCTTCAGGCACTCACTGCTGCTCAGGGTGTAGTTCAGGTTGTTTTCAACTAATGGTCTTCATCATATGTCCTCATGGATCCTCCAGCTGAAAATCTCAGCTTCCTCTCAGGCAAAAATGAAAAGTTCCTAAACCAGAGATGAAGGGACCACAATCCAGGAACTGGCCAGTGAATCATCTCCTCATGACTCATGAACGGTTGGACTCAACATGATCTTAAGGGTCTTTTCCAACCTAAATTATTCTATGATTCTATGATTTTGTTCACTCTTTGGAGTCAGCCACTCAGCAGCAGCAGTTCCTCTTCATCTCTCCATCAATTCAAGCAATAATCTTCTCTTCTCCCTCCAGCTGGTGATAACAATGACAAGGACTTGTCTTCTCTCAGAGCGCAGCAGAGATATGTGAAAGGATTGGTACTCCTTCTCCTGCTTGGGACCCCTCTTGAGGCTCTGCTTGTGTTCTGCACTGGCTTGTAGAGAAATTGCAATGCACATTGAGTCTTCCTACTGTTTTCTGGCACTCTGCAATCACTGTGAATCACTGACGGATGAAGTGGTACATGCTCACAGGGTGCCTGAACACCTCTCCACTGCACAGCAATGACTCCTCGCTCGAACCACTGACAGCACTAACCCCGCAGCACAAACAAGCCTTTCACCACCAGCCCACAGACTATTAATTATTCACTGGTAATTCTGAATAAAATCCAATTCGACAATCTTGCATTTATTCACAGACAATCTGCAAGCCACAGAAAGACAAAATCTACTCAATACTTTATTGGTTTTGAAGTAAACCTGAGTTAACTTAGTAGTCCTGACAACAGATAATTCCACTTAGGAAAATCAGCCAGTGGAGATTTCCATGGTATTGTGCAGTCACTGCTTCTGATACTCAAACTTATTCATGTCTTTCTACATGACAGAACAATGGAGACAAATCTAAGTGGGCACATCGCTCTGCTTACTCCTTAGTATCCAGATCTAAGACCCAAACAGCAGGATCCTAGCTCGCTCTTACTGCTTTGTAAGAGGGCAGCCCAAATCACAATTTACTCCTCAGAGTGCCACTCCTTTGGGAAAAACAACTTATTAGACTCTACATCCCTTCAGCTATGTGTCCCACAATACCACTGCAGTAAAGTGAAAATAATTAGTCAAATCTCCACAACTTTAATCTCTATGTTTTACTCCGGTAAACAACTTCTAGACTGATTCGGTGGGAAACTTGCCTGCATGAACAAAAAAAAAAAAGTTAGTATTGGCTTGCTGGCAATTCATAAACTATCTGGACTTCAGTACAACATTTTATCCAATGTTTTGTGAAGTATTTCTAGGAAAATTATTCACATTTGGTCAGATCTGGACATGTCACATGAAGAGAAAACTGGCTGCAGCCACAACAACAAAGGATAGTGACACTAAACAGCATAGCACTGTGTTAGAAGAATTAGCTGCCTGGGGGAGACCTGCATCAGACTCTGCTCCTTATGGAGAACAGGGATATGGTGTCACTGTAACACCCATCTCACATGAGACAGTGGGAATTTTTAACATAAATGAGATTTCTTCTATCACTATGTACTCATCAAAGCAAAACACTTTTGAAGAGACCTATTGACTTTGATGCCCAGTTTCTGCCTGGTCTCTTGCCAATGGGTGGGACAGATGGCAAGGTTCAAAGCAGTCCTGCCATAAACGAATCTCAAGGCTTCTGAGGTGTACTTGATTTTTAATCTGTTCCTTCAGTACCACAAACAGATGCATGCAGATGTTCTTGTTCTCAAACCTCAACTCTTTTCAGCTCCACACTTCTCCTAGGAAGATCTCTTCCACTGCCTCCCAGCTCAGCCTTCCTCACTACTGTGATCTTCTGCCCACTCCCATCTGCAGTTCTCCCTTACCCCAAATGCCTTCCTTTTGCTCCCAATTCTCCTTCGCTTGCCAGTTCCTTCCTCTGCTCCCTGGACACAAATTCCTCTATAATCCAGCTGCTAGCAGAGAATCAGCCATGAGATGATTTACTATCTGGGGAGCTCTGTCCACAGAGGGGTAGGAACCAGGAAAAATTTCTATGAAAGACCCCATCTATCCCATCACTTTAGTGGGGGAAATCTGACAAACCCATTTGCAACTCCTTTAAAATAGCCATTTCCCCAGGATCCAACCAGAAGGTTAAGGGTTAAGAAGCATCACAACGTTAATTGCTATCTGGTCACTTATATAACACTCCTTGGCATCTTACAGGCTGTATATACAAAAATCACCTCTCACACCAGTGGAACGCAACCATCACTAGACTGAAGTGCAGCAGCTGTTTGTCATCTCCCAGTACAAGGGAACACAACTGGACCAGAAGCAAGGAAGTACATAACGTCCCACTGAGGGAGCAGAGGAGCAGGACACAGAGGATATTTTCCGCACCAGGAGGCAAACTGGCAAAAGGTGAACAGATCCACCCCCACCACTTAATTATCCAGCTAATCCTCTTTTCCTGCCACTTGGCCTTTGCTCCCCTAACGCAGAGAAAGAGATTATGCTCTCCCCATCCACAGATGAAATCCCTGTTCACTTTTTTTCCTCCCTATTTGTTCCCCCTTCCTCTCCGTTTGGACTTACCTTCCCCTTGAAGAGCTCTGCTGCCAACCGGTATCTGTGCATTCGCTCAGGGTGCTTTGGAGACATCTTGTCTGTGATCAGGAGGAGGTGAAGCTGGAAGGAACTCTGCATCACACCTACTGCTGTCTGCCGAAAACATGGCCACCACAGACAGAGAAACACACACAGACAAGGAGATTGAGAACATGCCATTCACATTGGATGCAGTGCCAGAGAGACATCAGTCCTCATGTCTCAGCTGAGATTTCTTTGCAAATCAGCCTCACAAGCAGGAGAGCTTTCTTTAAAGCAGGAGAGATCCAAACTCGGTTCTCTGTGGGAGCACTTAACCTCCTGGGTTTGCTCATTCCCGAGACAAGAGTCTGAAGACCACAAGGGTTCATCATAGTCCTCAGGATGGTCAGTGACTAGGCAGGGGGACTGCCTGGATACTGTCTAGAGGGGTAAAGAAGAGGACAGGGAAGGCCAGCAAACACTGAACAGAAGGATGCCCTGAATCACTGAGGTCCAGCACTCAGCCAAAATGGGGGCAAAAAAGCTGGAAGAATTTGTGGTGTCAGAGTTGGTGTCTCCCCTCATTTCCTTTCTTTAGCATTAAGCTGTGAGTAGGATGGGGATGAGTCCAAAGTTTCAGCAACCCCAGGGCCTGGGCATTCCAGAGTGCTGAGGGTTAAAAATTTCCTCCGCAATTCCACAGTGGAAGAAGACCTGGAGCCAGTTGTTCCTAGTCCCCTGGGCAAGGGCCAAGCAGGCAGCACACACTGGCCCTCTGTGTGGAGACAGGGCTAGCACTACCCAAGAAGCCGCCGTGCCATCTCCAGGCACTTTCTCACTCACTCACTCATCATCTCACTTCTCCTCCTGCCCACTTCCCGCAGCCCTGCAGCCTCTCCCTCAAACTAAACAGCAGCCGGGCCAGACCTGCTGCCTCCCCAGTTCCACCAAAACCACAGAAGCGCAGGCTGGGCAGCTCCCTGCCAGAGGGAGAAGAAAGTTTCCACACACTCCAGGAGTTATAAAGAAGGGGTCAGGGAGTGCATGCCGGCAAGGGCCGTGCACCACAGAGCATCTAGTTTTTGGCAGCCAGGACTCTGCCATTAACCTAATATTTATCAGACATGTTGTATCCCTTCACTTCTCTGGTGGTGTGCAGATGGGGCAGGGGAGAGCAGACGGGGTGTGGACCAAGGCTGGAGAGCATTATAAGACCTCGTGAGAGAATGGGGTTGAAGGTGAGGGTGAAGCCAGCCAGCACCAACGGCCACTACAGGGCTGAGCTGAGCGGGAGGAGGGCTGGAGCCGCTGTTCCTCCAGCAGCTCCACACAAAGGTGTGCGTGTCCACGCAACCTTGTGCAAGAGTGATGAGCATTCCTAAAAATGCCTAAAGTATGTGGGCGAAACCATAAGGGCCCCAGGATGGGGAGAGAACTTGGCAGCACTCAGTGTGATCCACATGACCCTGGCCTCTGCTGACCCACAGCATTCTTAGATGTAAACAGCATATGCACTGGGAATAAATATTTACAAAAAAAAAAAAAACAAGCTACGTTAGCAGAGCTGGGAGGGCTTTGGGATGGGGACTGCAGGAGGCACTGTTAATTGGAGCACCTTGATAGGACTCCAGAGTGCCTGGGGAAAAAAAAAAAGGAAGAACAATTGTCCTGCCAGTCAGAGTGGATGGAGCTGAACAGGTCAGGACTTCTCGGTCAGAGAGACAGTCTGGGTGCCGAATGGGACCCCATGGAGCGAGAGCCCAAAGCATCAGCAGAAACACATGAAGAAAGAGCAATAATCTAATGAATTGCCAAAAGATGCAGTGGAGGCTCCAAGGGTTCAGAAAACCTGGGTGTTTATGAAGATAACAAGAACATCCCTGCTGACGTGGCTTGGGAGTTCTCAAGGGGCTGTAAGGACAGCAGGGCAGGATATAGCTCTTCTGTCCCCAGAAATATTCTGTGATTTTGAAATGTTCTTTTCACATCCCTTATCAAGATGAAAAAACAACTCTACTTTTTTTGTTGTTTTTCAAAAAAAAAAGAAATAAAACAGAACCTCTACAGTATTTCACTCCGGAAACAAAACATGGTGCTGCTTCCCAAACAAAATACTCTCTCTACTGACAGGCTGCACCTGAGCTAGGAAATGTGTCAGCCCTCTTAGCTGACGCTTGGCACCAATTTGAAAAGGTATAGCTTTGAAATAGGTCAGGCCATTCTCCTTTCATTAAATTGGGCCTCATCAGCACTGTTGTAGCTATTCGGAAGTCCACAAAAGAGTCCATTGGCAACAATAAAGTCTCAGCCTTGCAGCCATAGGGGCTTCTAAGACTCATTGGCTCCACAGCAGCAAGCCCAGTGAATTGCTGAGATTTCAGGGGAGCCTAAATCCTTGGTCACTCTCTATAGGGCAGAGGAACACTGAGAACCAGTGACTGCCAGTCAGGTGGGTGAGCTAATGAACATGGCCAACATAGAAGCATCCTATGTGTGGTTTTTTTTAGTTGAGGTGATGAGTTCTCGACTAAGGGATGGAAGGGATGGTAAAAAAATTGTTTGGGAAGTTTCCAACTGGCTCTTGAATATGCCTTCAAATAGCCAGGCTTATGACAAGTCCTTTGTGCTGGGTGATGAAGAACAGCCTGCCGACTGGGAGTAGGTCACTTGAGTTTGCCTGTTTCTCAAGGCTTTTCAGTCAAAGAGAGAGGATCATGGCTGAGCACGGTCTACAAGCAGGGCACAACATGGTAAAGGCTCAAAGGAGGAAGTGGCACTGCTGGCAGGAGTAGGAAGAAATGGAACTCTCTGCCCAACAACACCTCAAATTTATCAGAAGGCTAAAGGAACCACCATGCCCCATTTCTTCTCCCCACTCCACTCACACACCCCAGCATAGTGTCTGCTTCCAGTCCCTGTATGGAAGAGCAGTAAAGATTTGCATGGCTTCCCCAACCCCATCCACACCATTGCCACAACCCTCACACACATCTGGGTGTGCAAACTCTCGAGTCAGAGGATGCCCATGAGGAGGAGGCCAAGTCCCAGGGTGAGGGCTGTGGGGAGCAGGTAATTACCCTAGGATTGTACTCTGTCACCAGGCGGAGCTCGTTCATCCGAATGAAACGAGTGATCTTCTCAGCATCAACATCTTTGTTGCTCATATCCAGATCCCTCCGGTCATTATCTACCTGAAGACATGCAAAGACAACTACAGTCACAGCTGTCCTCTCCTCTCAGCAACCCCTTCAGAGGCACTGATGGTACTTACTCATGGAGACATCCGCCCCCTTGGAACACCACCTTCCTCTCCCCCTCCCCCACGTAATCCCCACTTCTGGAGGTCCAGAACCATCAGACCTACGGACCTCCAGAGAACAGCCTGCACTTCAAGATAAGGATCTTCATCTTCCACTCTCCTCCAGTCTCCCAAGGACAAGGTAAACTCCTGGCATTACAGAAATCACTGAGGACTCCAGACATCCCTACAGTATCAGCTTCTGATGCACTGAAGACAGAGAGGATTAGTTAATAAACTATTCTAGGCATTGTGGGGAGAGATCACGAAATAGCCTAAATCCTTGCATCGATTTTGGCTTTATGTCTCTTTTTAAAATCTTCATCTGCTTATTCTATTTCTTCTACAAGTAACAAACATTGGCATGGGCCTGTATGGATTTCCTGGAAACATTGTGCAAGCAGGAAATCTCTCCAATAAAAAGAGGATTTTTTTCCCCAGTCCAGTAGAAAAAAAAAAAAAAAAGAAAAAAAATCAAGCACAGCACATTTTAGCTACAGAAGAAAATCCATCCTGCCATGCATCTCCCCACCCAAACGATGTTATTTTATTGAGGTTTCATGACATGGTAAACAGAAAAAAAGCAGGCAGCCATTGAATGATAGCTAAACCACCCAAAGGGGCAGAGTTGGCTGTGCAGTATCACCGCAGGACGTGACTGAGCCGAGTCCTGGGGATGCTGGGCTGTGACACGCAACAGGATCAAAGTTTAGGATTTGAAGGCCTTTGATACACGTGTTGAATGAGGTTCTTGGAGCTGAGGAAAGGTTCACATGCACACCCCAGATTTTACTCAGTGTTTAAACTAACAAGCACTTTCAGAGGTCAAAGAAATGCATTTTCCAGTTTTTCCAGTGGTGTGCAGGCATCTAAAGCCCCTTTTGCTGTTCTGTGGTCATCCACAAGGTCTTTGATCTGGTAGGGGGCCACAGTGTCCTGTCTGGCAACCCAAACCCATGCTTGTCAGACTGCACAGCCTGATTCCTCTCTCAGATTTGCTGCTGCATGAAATGAAAGGGCAGCTCTACTCAAGTAAATGGGATCAGGGCAGTGCAACACCTGGGCGGGTGAGATCAAACAGGCCTTGGGAATCCATCTAAAGCACTTCAGATTCCACAGAAAGTCTTTTTCTTGATTTTCATGGGATTCTGGAAGCACCTGATTTCCATTTTGGGTATAATAATATCCTAAATCTGAGCTCAACATTTATGATTTCAAGAAAATAAGGCTGAAAAATATCCTGCATCTAATAGTTGAAGCTCTGATCAAAATGTCTTCATTGCTCCATATAATTAGCTTATTAGCATCTGTTCATTATGTTCTTTTTAGGTCTATCAGGCCAGATTCCTCACTAGAATAAATCAGTTTTCCTCCACTATATGCAAAGAAGTCTCACCAGTTGACAGCAGTCCCTCCTACTACTGTAATTATGGTTTAAATTTTTAAGCATTATATGTGTTCCATACTCTGCAAAAGCAAAGGAAAATGAGTTAATGCCTCTGATCCTCTGATTCACTGCTATCCTGGTCACGCATCTTTGTATTCTTCAAATGAGAATTTGATTCCAATTTCCTGTTTCAGTTCTTTTTTCTTTATCTTTTTTATCTTAATCTCAGGCCCCTTACTCCTACACAGTATTCAGCACAGAACAAAAGGAAAAATAATGTGTCTGAATAACTTAAGAAAAACTGACAATTAGATAAGTGAATTATCAACCACATTTGAACCTGACTAGTGTATTAGTTTATTGATTGGGCTTGGTTTTTTTCCTACCAAACACAAGTTCAGCTGCAAAAACTGGACTGTGAACAAAGAATATTCAATATAATCCAAATTCCAACAATCCAGACACTTTTATCAAACACCCTCCCAATGTGGTCATCCTCACTATCTGCCATAGCACAAAAACAAAAGATCTTTTCAATATTTTTGGAAGAGAACCACCATTACTAAGAACCAAAACTTCAGTGGGTGTTGCTTCCAATTGCAACATCTGCCCATAGCAAATAAAAGGTTAAATAAAAGGACCTGCATACCTATTGCTCACTCTTAGATCATTCTCTTTGAATTACTTGGATTATGTCAGTGGCAAACACAGTGCAGGAAATTAGGAGAAAGAAAGGGGAACAAACTGGCTTTGTCCAATCTTTGTACAACCTGGATCTAGAACTTGGCAAGCTGCCATATTTAGTTTCCTTAGTACACAGTGTCCCCTCTTTTCCCATCCCCCGTGACCCACCTGCTTAGAGCTTTGGTGACACAACACTTCATGGGCTTTCAGGACATCTTGTACTACTAGGGCCCCTCTCCTCCTCAGATACACCTCTCTCCCTTTTTCAAGAGCCACACTTGTGTGAGAAGAGGTAACATGAGGAAATTGATACAACCAGGAGAATACTTGGCTCTCAGCTTTTGTTGGTACTTCTGAAGCAAGTACACAGTCTTTCCTAATATTATCTCCTTAAATTTCAGCTAACATAGCTTCAAATTCAGTGAGGCACCAGCAATTACAGCTGGCGTCAAAAAAGATTTGAACTTGCACAGCATCCATCCCTAAGAAACTGCAAAGTTACATATGTAACAGGCTCATGCCCAAAGCATATTTAGGCAGTAACTCTGCAAACCACGGTGTAGGAGACAGAAAAGAGAGTTTGGGATTACTTTTAGTGGCAAAGCATCTGTAACTGCAGAGATTCAGTCTGGATCTGTTTTCAGTCACGGTGGAAAAGTTGTGCACTCGGGCAGACAGCTTTGCCTGCCTGAAGTGACACTTGGCAAGATCTGATATCAAGCCTGCTGTGTTGATCCATTGAAACATGGCCTCTAGAGGGTTTTCATGTGTCTCAGGAGCCTTTCCAAAACCATGGAAACCCCATCCAAGTAACTGAGCTCCAGGCAGGTCACTCACAAACACAGACATCATTCTTTGCAAAAAATTGGGTGCTGGACCAGATCCCAGGAGATCTTAACATGGAGAATATCATCAGGTGTAACAAATGTGGCATGTCTCAGTGACGGGCACTCTCCAAGCGAGAAGTGAAAGACCTCTTTGGGGCTTTTAGGTGGGCAGGCAGAGTGACTGTCAATGACAAGCCTTCTTTTGGCTTGCTCTAAGGAGCGATGAGCCGCTTTAATCTTCTTCTTTATCACTATTACCCAGATATTTCATTTCTTTTGTAGCGTGACTGCGGGCAGCTTTCAAGCACTTGCCCTAGAGCCTCTCTCCGCAAAACCAGCGGGCAGGGGAACTGCTCAGAGCGTTCATTTTGTAGATAAAGCTTTCTGCATGGCATCGCCGTGGGTTCCCCCCACCCTTCCCACACACCCCCGGCCACGCCGCGGGCCCACGCACCCTGCGGAAGACCGTGACGGTGTTCGCCGCGACGCCGTAGTGGGACAGGACCGCGGGGCTGGTGCTGAGGCCGAAGGGCACC